TGGGTGTTAAAACGCGCAATATCGCTATTCAACGCGTTTTGCAGCAATGTTACAAAAAAAGTTGTACGTTTTTTGTTGCCCGTTTTCCGTACCTGCAGTTTTATGAAGCGCTCGTTGGTCCTCGTTGACGCGGCTTCGCCGCGAAACATCAGTATCGATAAGAAAAAAATGTCCTCTGGAACCCGGGGTAGTGAACAGCCTTCATTTAAAAGAAATCAAGGGAGCGTTTTGCCTTAAAACCGAAATTTTCAGGAGACCTCTTTTTTTTAACAATAAACGCAGTATCTTGGTAGCAAAATGTGAAAAACGCAACACCGAAAATCGTAAGTAAGTCATTAGAAATACTCGGAATATGTTAAATAAATGGAACGCTTATCCGGAATATTTTAGCCTTTCTCGAGCATTAGAAATTTGTAGCCAATATTTGCTTCTTCGAACAGTTATTTTACAGAAAAAAGTCGCTAGGTGCCCTTGATATAAATGCTACTTTTTAGAGCTCTTTCGTTTATTAATCATCCAATTCTTTCTCATAAAAAACGTATTTTTGAAGACAATTTTTGAGCTAAAATAGAAGTGAGTGGATGAATGAAAACAAACATGGTCACCGCGAGCTATCACACCCGAATCTTGAGTCCCAAATATGGGCAGTCTCTGGCGACGAGAAACCGTTAACCGCAAACCGCAGTTTGCCGTTTGCAGTAAGTGTCAAACCTCGACATCAGCTTACGGGGCGGGGGGGCTGGGGGGGCTGCAGCCCCCCTGTCGGAAAAAAGTAGTATTGTTCAGGCAAAACTGATGTACAGTTCGGGCAAAGACCCAGTAAAAAATATTTTATTATTTAATATCTTGATTTATTTGTTTTCATCCCGCATCTCGCCTAATCTTCTAACTGATCTCTGTACTACTTCACGGGATGGCTGTTATTACTCGGAGTTAGAACATTGAGTCCTGCCGAGGGACTGGGAGTGATAATCTTTTAGAGCTCAAATGGGTATGTTTTATCTCTCACTTCATGGTTTTGTGTTTTAGAAATGTTCATCTCGATTTACCTAAAATATTTGCACTATTTTGAACGCGGCTGCTCTCACGGCATGGCGAAGAAAACTTGACGTCACGAAAGAATCATCTTGTGCATCTGTGACCAACAAGTTTCATTCGGGCAAATTATGTTCAGCTCCCCCAACAAAATTTTTCCCGGCGTACGCCGATGATGTTAATTTTTGACTGAAAATCACTTCATTAGTCGTTACTTAACCTTAGTACATCCTAAGTCATTAATTTATCTTCGTGTTGAACAGTATTACGATATTAAAAGGTCCTTTTTTACCTCAAAGTACAAAGTGAAATTTTTGCCGTTTGCCGTAAACTTTTTTCTAAATCTCTCTAATGTCTTCAATTTTTCTTGGGATGACTGTGATACACAGGAGAAATGAAAAACAAATGCTATGCAAAATTTGGGCGAGGCCAAGGTGTTTGTTTGTTTGTTTGTTTCTATGGACCGAGTGTCGAGGTGAATAAACTTGTTTTTGAGGGACAACTGCGGCAAATTCCCAACAGGGGAGATCATGTAGGCAATCAATCAGAAAACAATACTTACTTCAGACTGCCCACTTGCGAAGGTCGCCATATGAAGACTAGGAGGAAACTTAATCTATTTCTTTACAGATTTTTACAAGTTTTCACTTTGCTGTCTTTTTTAAAATCCCCCGTTTATCATTATACCCGCTTTTGAAATTCACTTTGCAAACTTAGCGTAAAATTGTTAGTGTGCACTAAGACGGCACTTCTCAAAGTACACAATGACTTACTCATGAATATGGATTCTCAACGCTTGACTTTGCTAGTGCTGTTGGACCGAAGTGCAGCATTTGACACCGTCGACATTGACGTCTCACTCAGTCGTCTCGAGTACGAGCTTTGGCTTCAGGGGCTCTGCTTTACTTTGGATTGCGTCTTATCTCTCTTACAGATCTCAACGCGTTTCTTTCGACTAGAAACAGTTTCGCGATTTAAAGGCCTAAGCAGTACTTTCCTGCTCAAACTTCCCTTATGTCCCCGCCTCCGGGAAAGGGTTTGCTTGCACGACTTTATGACTATCCTAAGGGATTCAATTTCCATGTTTAGAATAAACAGTTTTACAAAACTGTCGACGATTTATTGAAGCTGCGTTAAGTAATTTTTCCACAATTTTGTTCATGACCCGGGGAAAAAAACGGATTTCTAGTCGCTATGGCAACTAAAATTCCTTGGAAACAGTTATTACATAATCTGTTATTGGTTTTTTTACGGCGGATTGTTCGTTGTAAATGATAACACCCGTAGCAAAATAAAATGTAACTAGAACAAACGTTTATGTTAAAAGCTTCCTTACACAAATGAACAGCAAATATATATAAAAATGAAATTTATTTAAAAAGGGGCCTGTCACTTAAAGCAGTGGGTAAATTAAAAGTATAAGCCGAAATTTTTAGTTTTGATTGTTTTATTTTTACCAAATTGATAAAAAAGTATTTACGTATTCAGTACTCATATACGTATTCATTTTAAAAAACGAATACGTATACTCTTTCTCACTGTTGTATATCAGTATTTGTTTGGGTAAATGAGAGTATTTCCAGTCCTGCTGTCCTCCTTTCAATTCCATTGACACCCACAGTCTTTGCCGTTTTAACAGAAAATAATTCAGTTGGTTCAACGCTTGCTGTTTTCCATATAGTAAGATTAAGGCGAGTTCCCCCATGCGGCCATGACTTGCAACAAAAACCACGAACAATCAGCCGTCTAAAGGCAGAACGAAACGAGCGAGTAAACAGCATGTAGATGAGTGGGTTTAGTGTGCTGTTGGAATAATGCAGCCATTTACTAAAACTCACCCAATCTGTTCGGTCAGGACACTTTTTACACACTGCGTATACAACAACGAGTGTAAAAAACGGTCCCCAACAAAGGATGAACGCTCCAACGACAAATGCCAAAGTCTTGGTGATTTTGAGCTCACGACGAAAAGTAACGGTACGTTCTCGCTGAAGACCGTGTTGAATTCTAGAGTGAGCGCCGCGGATTTCGCGCACTTGACGAAAGGCAACGCAGCAAATTTTACTGTAGACCACGATAAGGATTAGCAGAGGGAGAAAGAATGCCATGAAGGCGATAAAAATCGCGTAGACACGTCCCGCCATCGGCATTATCGATTTTACCACTGTTACGATGGATAAACTTGCGCAGAAAAAGGCGAAAAGCCAAGCGAACGCAATGGAGCCTTTAGCGCGTTTTGCGGTCATTTTACTGTGGTAGGTTAGAGGAGAGTTTATTGCTAGGTGCCTATCAACACTTATTATACATAAATTCACGATAGATGCTGTACTGCATAGGATGTCTATGTACTGCCACGAGTAATAAAGAACGGTGTTTAAAAATTCATCTTCTCTTGGGATCTTTGTTATGTCCGACAATCGAATGTACAACCAGTATGGCATAGACAGCCCGGCAACAAAGATGTCCGCCACGGCCAGTGATACTACAAAATAGTTAGTGATCGTTCGAAGTAGGTGAAAACGGTAAAAAGCAAGGATGACCAGTCCATTGCCAAACAGTGCCAGGAAAATAGCCAGAGAGAGAAACACAACTGTGATGTTGAGATCCAACGTGTCCACCGTCGAACTTGACGTTGGTAAAGTATCATTCGAGACGTTCATCGCCCACGAAACGATATCTTTCGCTGAAAACTCTCGTGGTGTCCCGGTAAGCTTGAAAGTTCTAGCAAAACTGTGTCAAAAACTTCTGCGCGTTGGAAATTCATTCCTTTAAGGGAAATTTCTAATTAGAGTTTGTTTAAACAGGTGCCGGATACAGAACCATTTCAAGAAAGCAACGGAGTATCTTCTAGTTGAAAGTGCGCGATTAATTCCAGCAACGCCCGCTCAAAATGCTTCCCTCGAGACGTGTCGCGAACGAAAATCAACGAAGAAAATTTAAGAGGAACCATTTTCGACGTGTTTGATTTTTTAGTAAAGGCAATTCAAATAAACTTGCACACCACTGTACAAACAATTTCATCGTGGTAGTTTCTTTGCATTTTCTTGTAATTACACCAAGGTAATTGGTTTAATTCACGAGTTCGTGAAAAACATGGTCAAGATTCAGTGCCACAATTAGGAAATAAATTTTTCATCGAGGTTTTCTCAAAGCAGCTGATAATCTAGCTGCGCAAAGGCAAACACAGCAGAAAAAATAGATTGACTGGGTCGTCCGTAATGTAGACAAACTAGACTGACAACAAGACAGCCACAAAAAGAAGAATGTTTAAATAGGATAACGAACGTCATTTATTACTTTAAGTAAACACAAGTCTCCTTTTTCTCTTCCTTTAATAATAATATGAAGAAAGCAGTTTTGCAGGTTGAGGCAAAATTACATGGCAACGGATATGAAAGAAAAGATTGACATTTGGTCGATTTAGAAAATTTTACCGCGGGTTATTGCCAACAAATTCTGCACGGTTTCTTTACGTTTTATCAAGTCAAAAACTTCTTTATTCACCATGCTATGATCTTTAGATTCCTGATTGCAAGTCAGTATAAAAAAACATTTTTTGTTCTCCGCGCTTTGTTTTTGAATCACATAGATTTAACTTTATAACTAGTATGCAAGGAGCAATAACTTGTTTTGTCTCTTCAGACATTACCACAATGGAAAAAAAGAGACCGACCTTACCATTTATATTAGAATTTATGCAAGCTGGAACAACAACATAACAGAATGCTCATTCTTTTTACTTCCTGGGATAAATGATTTGGTCCCGTAACTTTTTCAGTCAATTGATGTTACGATATTGTTCAATGCGTCAAATCGGAAGCCGATGGTCCATTCGACTACTTGTCGGCATGATCGCGAAAAGGACCGATCACAAGACCGCCGGTTCTCCGTCGCACAGTGGTGGCTCCGTTTACAGTTGGTTAAACGAAATTTTAAAGGAAATTGTTTCACAACTTCATTTTCATCGCCTGCTCTTGGGTCCAACGGCGGCGAACAAATATTAAATTACTGACCTCTACCGGATTACTAGCATTGGCTTAACTATGTTGAACCCAGATACAGTCAGTGTTGCGTCTATATGGGTCTTCCCAGGAGTTTAGGGTTCGATCCAGGCTGAAATCAATAGGATCTTTGTATCAAACACTAATGTCGGTCAAAATATGAAGAAAAGAATTGGGCAAAAAATTCTCATATTAAAATTCATTAATGAAATCATATAGTAGTCCACGGTTTGTGTTCGCTGCCTGTTGAAAATAATCTCATCTGGCCATTGCGTGCGATTGCGTGCTTTAAATGCATGCTTGCGTGTCTTTGGTTTCAGTTCGTCGCAGCTCATCAGAAAAAATTCCATTCTATGTGCTTAGCTTTGCTTTATTAAGTGCAACAGGCCAAAATTATCCACTCCCGATAAAAATACATCACTCTAAAAACATCCAAAACATATTTCTGCATCTCATAGAAAACTAGTCTACAGTATCTAGTAAAATCATCTGGGTATGAAAAATATTCGCGAAATATTTCGAAAAATCTTCCAACCCTTAGTCCTTCTTCCACAGAGAAACAAATTATTCGAAAGTCGACGCACGGGGGACAAGGCAAGGGGAAAACGGCGGAAAGTCCTACTCTTCCCAAAGTTCACCGCGGGAGACAGAGTTCTTAATAATTGCACATCACGCACTGTACTGAACACATCAATTTTTCCGTTCTTTCTATCAAAAGTAGCATATTTTATACCCAGACGATTATAGCACCAGACAGGCTATTAAAATTACTTAAAGTTTTTAGTACTAATATTTACTAACATTTTAACTATCAAACACTTATAAAAAGTTTACAAGACTAATAACAATTATATCCCAAAGCATTTTAACAAGTTTAAGTCTAGAGATGACCATAATGTAGCTAACTTGCCTCGCCATCAGGCGTGCTAGTTTCGTTCTTCGAATTTTCAGTTACGCTCGAAACATTTTCCTTCGATTTATTTTCCGACTTGGGCGCGTCTTCTTCGGTACTACTCGGTGTATCGGCATTACTCGGGAAATCTTCGGAATCATTACTGTTTTCTTTAGGAGGAACTTGTGGATTATTTCCTGATTCAACGCTTCCAGTACCCTCGGATCTTTCTTCTGAGTGCTGGTTTTCCTCGTCATGTACTCCGTTTTCGTTTTCTACTTCTTGTGGTGATGCTTCTTGAGTTTGTGTATTCTGAATCATATCTGCTTCTGCGCTTGAATTAAGCTCGCGTCTTTCGCTGTTTTTATCAACTACAGGACACGAAGAAGTCTTTTCATTACTTTTCTGTGCAGCATTAGCTCCCTTCGTCTAGTGGAACAATGAAAATATTCGTCAGTAAAAAGCTGAATTTTCCTCCGCTCCTACTAGCTGCTCCGAAATCACATGACATTTAACAGCTACACTGTTTCCTAACAAAAGGTGAATGTGAGCGAGCAATATTTTAAAAAAAATATGACGTCCGGCGGTAAAACTTTAATTAACGCGAACATTTCACCATTATTAGTTTTATTTAAATAGGATCTGATGGCGTTCTTGTCTTCAGCTACCGTTACCTTCACTGACAACTCAGTTGGTCAAAGCGCTGTAACGCCGGGTATCGCATGGTCAGGGGTTCGAATCCAATCTAAGCCTCACTTTGTTCTAGACGTTATCACCAAACGGGAAAAATTAAACTTAAGAACGTTACTCGACGTTTCGAACATCATTATCAAGAGTGAGAAATGTGAAGTTTCAAAGTTGTTAAAAGAGTTGAAGTTTGAATTGCGTTCGTGCATGCTTCACAATATAAAGTAGATGTCGGGCGAATCGAGTCCAGTTGAATGTTCAGCGACGATTTGAGTTCTTGTATAAATAGCGTTTTCGTAAACATGGCATTCGAATTCACTTCCGCATTTTTTTAAGGACCGTCCGTAAGCCGGGTTGGCTTCTCAACCCCATATTGTTTCATCATGCCTCCCGATCGACAAATTTGAGCTTGAACTCTTTAACCCTTTAATCCCCAATATCCACATACAAATTCTCCAAACTGATCTCTATACATTTTCTGAAAGAATAAGTTGAGAGAATTTGATGAAAGATTAAAGCATTTTCTCTTAGGTGATCAATTTATTAATTCTCATAACCAAATCTCTTGACAATCAATGGATATGGTTAGGAGAAAATTGATGTTGGACACCATTGGGACTTAAAGGGTTAACCACCATGAAACTTAACATTTCTCACTCTTGATAATGATGATCGAAACATCAAAAAGTCAAGTAACGTTCTTAAGTTTAATTTTTATACTATAAAATAGCGAGATTTTGCAAGGACAACGCTACCACAGTGAGTGACGGCGGCACGCGTTCAACAAGAGACCTCCTTTACCAAAGGCACTGAATGCGGGAGAAAGTCAGGATCATTCCTTTTCGCGCGCTTTTATGTTATCATTTGACGTCGCGTTGTCTTTGCTAAATCTGTCTTACTGTAGCTTTGATGTCTGTGATAGTCCTATTTCTTAAATCGTCCGTCCGCAATTCAAATATATGAATTTTTAACATTAGTCTTCTTCATGTAAATGAATTTTGCTGATGTAACTGGGGCTTAAGTTATGTAAACCCATTTCACGGCCCAATACATCATCTCAGCAAAGAAAAGTGACGTCACAAAAAATCAAAAATTCGAATTTGCGAAATTATGGGATTGATTGCGATGTTTAGAAAGAAAGTGAAGAAAATTGCCCATTTCCCGCAAAAATCAGCGTGTTAGTGCAAATTGGTGGTTACATATAGCTCTTATGACTGTATACAATCCCTCTAAATTTTACTTGGTTAGTACGCTTTACGATCCACGCCAATTTTAGAAGGATTAATTTGTAATGATTTATCAGGGGATAACGACGTTTATATCTCACCACCAGTTTACAGTAAACCAATGATTTTTGGTATTGCAAGTAGGTATTTTTCATCTTGTTCTTTCTGACCATCCCACACTTTAGTTTTCGTGACTTTATCACTTCTTTACTCTGATAGTAAAGTTTTGGAACTAAAGGAATATTGACAATTAATACGGATTTAAGCGTTCATACCTGATCGATATCTGTGCTTGTCTCTTTTGCTCCTTTATGCAGGGCACGGCAAAGATTTTCAAGCTTTTCATTCTTGGAACGTAGTGCAGAAACTTCGTTCTTCAGCTTTTCGCGCTGGCAGAAGAAGACAAAAAATTGCAAAGATCTATATTAGAAAACTCAACGAACAATAAATATCCTTGTAAAGTCAAAATCCCTATCAAGTGCAAGCAATAAGCAAGCGAATAATAATTTAGCATTTCTAGAAAGGACAAATGTCGAACCAGTCACCTTTATAGCCAGACAAAACTGAAAAGTGGTCAGGCAGACAGACAGTATGTTGACCCTTTCTCTAATTACTAGGCAAATCATCATCAGCCTTAAAATGATAATCTTGGGTTTATGATCAGTATGATTTATCGGACATTTGCAAATTTTAGTAGGACACTGTCGTATGGCCGACTGTTATTTGCCGACATAAGCACCCCTTGGGAGTGAACGAGTTTACTCAGTTAAAAGTGAATAACTTCACTCACTTCGTCCACCATTTGAACTAAAGAGTGATTGCTGCTCTCGCACTTTGATTTCCACGTATTTCGTTCCTTTTCTAGTTTCTTAATCGTCTTCGTCATCTGCAAGAAGCAATTCAAAACAAGCATATCAGAAAACCACAGAACTTATTCGCTTTAACTAGTACTACCATTAATTAATTTAACAACACGTGCTCTCATTGGCTACTTTAAGGGCACGGCGTCACACAGCGAGTAAATTGTTTCCCGCCAAAGTCTCTGGGCGAGCTGCATCACAAAACCTAGTATGACGTCATGATAGCGCACTGTTTCCAACAAATTTTCAACGTTCTCACTTTTTCCTTCGCAATTCGAAAGCAGACATCAGTATAATCGTGGTGATAAAACTGAAAATTTCAGTGTTAACACATCATATCAGACGTCAGCAAATATCGTGTGATCGACTTGATACACTTTGCTCAATAGCATATTCGAATTCAGATTTTAAAATTACCAAAGAAGTCGGGGGTTCACACGCGAGTCTAATAAAGTTAAAGTCAACCAGCAGGAGCCGTGTCAGAAAACACCGCAATATTTCAGTAAAAAGGGACAAAATTACGCACATTTAGGATTGTAGGATGCAAAAATAGGGCATACATTTCCAAAGCTCCACTCGAAGTAGGCAGCTACCCTCTCGAGAGAGGCGAAACGCGAAACGCGAATCGTGTCGTGCGCGTAACCTACATGTGTACGAAGCGTATCAAAGGCTACTTTCATTGCTAGCAATTACATTTACGACCCAACAACAATAACAATTAACCTAAAGGACTATTAAGGTACACATATTTAAAGTATATGATGTAAAACAGTATGTTTTTTTTAATTAATGTTTTTAACCGTTACCTTATCCATTTCTTTCTTAAAAGTTGAAAACACTTCATTGCTCTTGTTAAGAGTTTTCTGAAATTCGTCAAATCTCTCTGCATACATAGCCAGCTGCAATGAAAATACACATTCCAGTAAAAGGGAGAAGTAGAAAGTAAAATTAATTTGATTTGCAAGGCGCGCCAGGGCTCTCTGTTGCAATGCAGGCTGTTTATCTGTTCAAAAGTCTGATGCACTTATTACCTACAGTGTATCAGCACATAGAAAGGGAATAGTGGAAAATCTTATTTTTTGCTTCATAATGACCAGAAAGTGCTCTTGTACTTGAAAGAGACTACCAGCAGATTTTTCTAAAAACATTAGAATACCCACAGCCAATGCAGATCTCTATCTAATGGGTTTTGTTAGGTAAAAAAAAAATAGATGATAAAAGTCTTGAGTTCCCCTTCCCACTGTTAATTTATAGTGCTCTTGGAAGTAAATAACAAAAGCAATGTAACTGGTAGGTACTTCTCTCTTGGTATTAGTTACCTGGGATTTCATCTCCGTTTCTTGTTTAGTTAAAAGTTCACACTGCTTCTTGTACTCTTGAGCTTGTTTAATCAACTAGGTGAGTGAAAAAAATAATAAATAAATAAAAATAAAATAAAATAATACAGACACTGTTCGGTACAAAAGCTTGTTTAATCAACTAGGTGAGCGAAAAAAATAATAAATAAATAAAAATAAAATAAAATAATACGGACACTGTTCGGTACAAAAGGAAAAAAAAAACACACAAAATTATGAAGAAAAACCTGGCGGAAACCAAGGATCCCTCACAGGCGATTTCAACTGTATCAAGCAAGTTTTTTATGTTAAAAAGAAATGCAAAAAGGGAGACGGTGGAGACTACGCGATTCACGTCCAACTTTTTCTGAGAAACCAACTTTTGAATGACAACTGGCTCACGAAGAATAATTATTACTTACTATTTGATTTTCTGACAAAGTCTTTTTCTTGTCTTCATCAAATTGCAAATGTTGCTGAGCCATCTTTGCTTCTGCCAACTGAAGCTCCAGTTGCTTGTGTTTAAATACCTTTTCTACATGCTTTAAGGGAAAAAAAGAAGTTACATGTATTTATGTCCCTATAATTTAGTTCTATTTCGACACAAAAAAACGAAAATTTATAATTATACTGCTCTAACCCCTTCTTCAGTTCAGGCAGACTTATAATGAAGTAACTAGCTTGCAATTCCCAAATAGAATTCCAGCTGAATCTACATCCATTATGGGCTGTAAATTATGAACTTTGTTGAATGTTGCATTACTGCTTGCAGATGTTTCCTTTTCCCACAGGTCTGTATGCAGGTTATAAAATATGTATCGATAATTATGTCATAAGAACAATAAGAATTTGATCCTCACCATAATTGTTTCAAAAACAGTGTGCACAAGTACGAAATGTAGCAAATAAACAAATAATAAATCATTGATATCTATTCATATCAAAAAGTAATAGTAATATTTCAAAACTGTATGCCTTGGATTTTGTTAATTACATCCTCGGTAAATAATATTAATGCATGTTGTAAATCAGTTTTGCCATACTGACGTTACCTCAGCTTGTGAAATGGTTAACCAAAACAAACTTATTCACTTTTATCATAGTTTTTAAAACTCATTTTACCTCCTCTCGAACTTCATATTGCTCAACTAGTCCTTTAAGTCTGGCAGCAAGACTGTACAATGAAACAGACAGAGATAACAGTAAAATCAACAAGTTACTTGCTAAACATCAAAATGTTTAAAAATACCCAGCACCAAAACTACACAGTAACAATAATCTAAAACTTGCCTACTTTAATACCGTTAACAAAGTCACAAGGTTCATGTAAAGAGGTTGTCTGCAAAACGAAGGCCAAAGACCCAGATGGGTTATTTTTTTCTACTGAAGGTTAGTGGGTTATTTCAATCACCTACACACCATTTGTAATCAGGTTCCCCATCTGAAAGGACCCTAAAACAAACAAGAGGTATCCTCCAAAACCGGGGGTGAGAAAAGATCATCAAATGTACTTGCCAGACAGTTGATTGTCTTAACGTGGAGCTTCAAACAATCTTAAGGTACATGTATGTTACATGAGATGACTCGCAACAATGATTTTGAGCGCAACACAGTGTAGCAATGTTGGAACAATGTTGCAATGCTGTGTTGCGCTAAAAATCGTCATTGCAAATCGTTCTGTGTAACATCACCTTCACTGTGCATAATAATTATTGTAGCAGACAGACCATGGAAATCAAACATTCTGTGATATAGTTGATTCAATAAAGGTTGCTTTGGGTTTTGGTAACTGGGCACTGGGAATCTATTGTTTTGTGGTCACTCAAGCAAATTATTGCATTGTTCTTTAGGCCAAATGCCAAATGCCCAATTGCCAATGACCAATTGCCAAAGCATTCTTTATTGAATTAGGTATACAACAAAGATTCCAACCCTCCTGATTTGATCAGGAGTCTCCCAATGAGTTGCTATCCCCTGTCCCAGTGATTTACAAAAAGATCCCAATTTCTGGGCTAGTAAATAAAGGGCTACAGGCTGTAAAGGGTAAAATCAGTTTTAAACAAAAACTGGAAAAGCCAGCTGTTGAAGTATTACTTGAGAAAACAAAATGGACTGTGAAAAATCATTACTGATTCTTTTCTGGGGCCAAAAAACAAAATCATGCACAATGGATCAACCAGCAGGGTTGACCAGACAGTGAAGAATGTCTGTAGAACTGAATTTTTCATGAGAGTCTGGTACCAGGAAAACTTAATTCAGTTCTTGGCAGACACAAAAAAGACAGTTGAGTCACGGCAACCCAAAAAGAACAAGTTTCTTCTTTTAGAGTTGGAATGTCTGATATTAATGCTTGGATTGATAACAAGAGAGGGAAAGACATTCCCAGTGTGTAAAGCACAAAAAAAAGTAAAGGCACCCACGAGCCTAAGGCCCAAACAGACAGAGCTCATCCTGGTTTCATTAGCATGAAGCATGCCTTGGAGTACTGCTACTCCCCCTGGACCGGTTGCTAGTCCATCGGAGGGTTACACCCCAACAGATATCACTGATACCCATTTATACACCTGGGTGAAGAGAGACAAAGTGGAGTAAAGTTTCTTGTCTAAGGAAACAACGCGACTGGCAAGGCTTGAACCCCGGACCTCCAGATCCAGAGTTCAAGGTGTTAACTACTCAAGACACACACACCTCCAATGTGTAAAGTACAGGTCAGTAATATTACAAATGCTGTTTTACTAACTCATTGTTCTCATTCTTCAACTGTTGGTTGGCCTTGTAATTTTCTTGCATCTGTTCTGAGATATCATTGATTGTTGTTTGAAACTTTTCTGAAAGCTCCTTTCGCTTGGCTTCCTCTTCTTGGATTCGTAATTGGCTCTCTTCCTGTCAAAGGAACCACCAATAAAAAAACTGTTATTCAGACGTTTTATGCAAAAAAATTTACACGAAATACTTGAATTACAGCGCACATGTGGAAGGAACCATATTAAATGCATGTAATGAATGTGAGGTGGAGAATAGTAAGCCGGCCATAATGTGGTAAATGTGGATAATGCTTGGGGTCAAGAGACCTGAGCATTTGCAGGGTAAGATAGGTGTGACTCTTTCCCTGAGATGGAGAAAGTTAAATCACCTTCAGGCTGATAAAATCAAAGAAATAAATTACCTTTATGACTGTGGCACTGCTACATTATGTCTTATTATGGTTGTTAAGTAATAAAATGTAAATTACATGTATTAGTATGTCTGGTATATTTATTTAATAAAAAATGGAACCCTAGGGCTTGATAAATACTTGAATTCTACTAGCTTTTTCTTTGGACAACAGCTCTGCTTAATAATGACGTAATGACTTACCTAGACCCTTGCCCACTGGGCAAGTGAGATGAACATTTAACGCCTGCGTCGCAAGTGGAGGTTGGGTGCCCATGGGCCAGGGGGCTGCAACCGCAATACACCCCAAGGCGGCAGAACACCCACAGGCCTACCAACCCGCAACCCAGCCACGCGCCCCCCTCGCCCAGCCCCCCCACTATAGCACCCGTCACACTGAGGCCAGAAGCCCAGTGGAAGTAAATGAACCAACCCCCGAAAGAATAAATAACTAAATAAATAAATAAGAACAAAAGCGGAGGGAGGGAGGGGAACCAAGAGAAACGCTACGCTACTGGAATGCCACGCCACGCCACGCTAACAAAGCTTCGAGTACAACGCAAACACAACGTAGGCACATGGCCTCCGCATGCGCCAAAGCGACATACCGCTGGACAGGAATCTGCCCCCATGCTCACGAACAATGGTAACCGCTACAAACGCAAACAGTCATGCAACAACGCTACAGACGACCAACACGCTACCAAAGAATGCCAAAAACACCCGAGACCATAGCTCCTAGTCGTTAACTACATTAAACATGATTTAATAGTATTAAAAAGTTACTTAATTGCTCTGCAAGAAAAGTTAATTTACAAAGTATTCCCAGACTGGGTATTTTTAAGCCCTCAGTACTCTCCTCTTAGAATTTCATAACCATTCTTCACCTTGACAAGTTTACTGTGACGTTGTAATTCACGGCAAAGACTTTCCAATTTGCTTTTGGCCAGACTTGCTTTATTATATTCTGACTGCAGGTGATCCCTTTCCTTCACAACCTGTTTATTAAAAATTAAAGAAACAGAAAAGGTTTATCTTCCCTTGAAACTCTTGATAGACTATGAAAACCTGCAGGAACACCACAAAAACTGTAAGAAACAATTAGACTACTTGTTCTCATTTTGCTAAGGCCCCATTTGCAAATTTTGTTTGTTTTGCAAAAAAAATTCTGTCAACAGGAAGCCATTTATGGTGCAAATGATTCTTTTGCCTGCCAAAATTTTCTCACCTGTCACCACACTTCAAAGATGTCGTGGAGAATATTATTTGAAGGCCAACATTTTTTTTGTCAAGTGACAAAATTCTTTGTTTCTTGACAGCTGTCCTTCACTGGGTCATCTAATTTTGTAAACATGACCAAGTCCCTTGAATTAAAGTTGCTGGTTACACGAAAAATTTCTTGTGTCTCTGATCATGATGCAAACAAGTTTGCAAAAATGAAACATTGGTGATTACAAAAATTTCAAATTTTTTTGCGAACACCAAAGTAACTCTAGTTTTTGTTGTAGTGTGAACAGGGCTTAACCCTTTAAACCCTAAGTTCAAAATTTGAATTCTCATTTGTTGCCCCTATTCATTTTCTACAGAAGTAGAGGGGAGAAGTTGATAAAATATCAAGCAAATTCATCTTGTGTGATCATGTCCATAATTCTCATGACCACTCTGTTTCACAAAGCATTGATTTTACAAGGAGAAATTTGATGCTGATCACTCTTAGGGCTAAGGGTTAAGAGTCAAATTAATAGCTACCTCAACAATACACACCTCATTGACTAGTATTGATATATACAATACTCAATTTTTGAGGCTAATTTTATTGTTAATCACAGTGACTGGTTTACCTTTTCTATTCTCTTCTCTAATTCGTCTTTTCTTGCTTCAGTGGTTCTATGATCTGCTACCTTTTAGACAAAAAGATAATATCAAATAATCATGAAATCCTTTAGATATGAAGCCTCACAAAAAAGCTGAAAATCCTGACCACATTGAATGTTTAGAAAATGGAATAATGCATATAAATTTCAAGTTAAATGATATTAACTTTATTGGAGCTTTAGTAAAGCCAGTGTTCCATTGCTTTGTTGGCAACTTCATGTGGCACCAGTGATAAATAAATGTCACCAAATATAAAATTTTGGCTGTCTCTCTGCAGCAGTAAACAAAACCTGGTCCTCATACAAGAGAACAATAAATTGCTTTACTTAAAGGAAATTGTAGTAAAGTCTATCTCTTACAACAGCAAAAATGATGTTTTCCAAAAAGTTACAATTTAACATTAAAGTTTTTTGACATCTTTAGCAACATTTGGGAGTAATGTTGGAATGTCTTCTAGCTCTTTGGGAATCTTTTGAAGTTGCTGGAACATCTTGGTAATGTTTAAAAGCCGTTGACACATTCTCAGAAATCTGGGTAATAAGGTATAGAGATGAAAATGCTGGTTAACGCTGGTTTTTAATATTTTAAAAACTGAGAATACAGTATTCCCCCCGCCACCCCCCCCCCTCAAAAAAAATTTCAGATCATGTATTTCATGGTTTATGTCTAATTTGCCAGACAATGCTGCATTCTGATTGGTTGAGCTAATACTAGGCTATATGTTACATGTATAGCCCACTAGTAGCGAAAAGCGCAGGATTTTTGGCGCCAAAAAAAGGATTGAAGTCTAGCTTTAACTGGCTAAAATTTTTTTATTATCGATATTTTTGACCGACTACCGTAGTTGGATTTTACCAAAACAATTATTCCTCTCGCCCTCATGGCCTCTGAGTCAATAGCCCATGGGGCCGACATTGACTCAGCGCCCATTGGGGCTCGAGGAATAATAATATTAATTAGTCAGGTGTACATTGTACATGTATCAATTAACGTCAGCATCAACACTGCTAAAAGTGCACTCTTGAGGAGTTTTGTAGTGACATAATATCTATGTGTACATGTAAGTAACAGTAATACATTATGTAAATTTGACCAAGAATATTGCTGTCATTCCTGAGCATAAAAGGTTGGCTAAATTTAAAAGACTCTTGAACATATTAAAGCAGAACGTTCTGTTCATACCCCGGACCTTGGGAGGGAAAAACTTCAGGACAATATGACAGACATGAAAAGTCTACAATATCATGCAAATAACTTGTATTAGATGAAACGCTTCGTTTGTGTTAGTTGATATTTATCGCTGTTTTTGATGTGCGTTATTTAAGACACTGAACCAAGTAGTAACGTAGAATATTATTTTCGTTCTACTGGGGGGTAAAATTATCTGACTATAAACATGACGCAACGTAACCAATTGGCATAGATTAGCTTATTATAATTCTGTTCAGTTCGTGTATAATTATTTTCTTGTCAGTTTGCTAAACGGATTAACTAATTTGCTTTTAAAATCCTAGCTAAATGAACAATCTTCAAGGCAGAGGTTAAATTTTAGTTAAAATTATAAATGTTCTTACCAATTGTAAGTACTTTCTACCAAGGGCGTCAAGTTTTGATTCTGGATTATCCACATCCTCAAAAGACTTAAAAAGCAACTCTGAAAATATATGCATTTATCGTATGCAATCTCAATAAGCCTCACGCAACATGACGGCAGAAACTAAAACAGTTAAAGCTTATTAGCTCGTGCACGAAGACAGAAAACTGTTGTTAGAAAGCGATATCCTAGGACACGTATGAAGCAAAGACTTACTAAGCTTTTTCTCCTCTTCTTTAAGCTTCTTATTGCTTTTTACTGGCTTGGCTTCAATCTTTTTTGTCGTCGTATCCGTACTTTGCAAGGCTTTTCCATTAGTTTGTAAATCTGACGAGGATGTTTGGTCGCAGGTAGTATCGCACACTTCCGGGCGATCTGCGGCGTCCGTATGAGATCCGCCATTCTGAAAAAATATAGTCCACAATAAGACATACCAAATTCTGTGCTTCAAAGCTTGTTACAAAAGGAAATACGGACGAAGATCAAAGCATTTTACCGGCTTCGGCTCTGAGGCCATAACTCCATTTTCTTCCGTAGAACTCATATCAAAAGGTCGATGAAACTCTACTTTTTCGAACACAGACAACTGTGGACAACTACTTCGTTTTAACGTTGGTTATTTGAGCCCGCGATACTTTCCCCTTGCGTGTAGCGGCAACAATTACACACACACACTAATTCCCAGGCCCCTCCAAACTCGTACCCAGAGTTTAACCCAGAGTAAGCCAGAAAATTCTGGGTACGAGATTGGATTACCTCTTGATCAAAATTCATATCCAGTGGATGACGCTTTCTTGCTTTAGAACAACTGGGCCCATGGCTCTACCCCAAAGGAGCCAATGAAATTCTCACAGTCTCACCCGTAGTCTTCTACAAATGTACTTAGGATCCCGGGAAAGCGGACCATCTCCCAGCTGAGTCAACTTTGGCGAGCGCTTATATGATAAAAAACAGTTGACCCCTTTTTTCGAGCCAACAGTGCCGGCTCTCCTATGCTCTGGTTGTTTCGCCTTGACCGAGTTGACCCGGCTGAGTAGTTGTCAGCCAAAGCTGTTTATATGGTGAAAATCAATGAAAATATGGCCCGGCATGGAGGTTAACTTAGACCATCGAAAAAGGGTGACCCTTCTAACCAAGCCAGTTTTTTGTTTCTGATGTTAACGATTCGCCAAGTTTCTTTTTTTAGGCTGTGAATGTAGGAAAAATTGGTTCGCTAAGGGTATCCCGGGAATACTCACTGGACAAAATGTCGTGAAATTGATCACTATCTTATCATCTTTTACGTGCTGTTTTGAAACTCCATGATGTCAGATCCGACTGTTCTAAAGTGAGCTTACATGTATATTTCATCAAAAGACAACTCTTGATAGCTTTGCACTCATTGAAATGCTGTAAGCGATCTCTAGCTTACTGTTTGACGTTTGTTCAGACCGGCCTTTGGTTGTTTTTTTTATCGTTCGAAATTGACCAAGAGGTGGAAGAGTTGATTTTTTCCTAGCGGGTTTTGAAAATAATAGCTGAAAGTGATTATGCACCTATCAATGTAAACCCCGTGGGGGCAGGGGGGCGAGGAAGGGGGGGGGGGATTTGACAAATTTTAAAATTTTTTGACTAAATTCCCCAGGGTGGGAAACGAAAGGTCCGATCAAAAGTATCAAAAAAGCCCCCACCCCAGGGGAAAAAATCTAAACAAACAATACAATAATACTCAGGAATACTGTATAAAACGAATTCAAAGAACATTTCAAAAGTACGTCCTTACTAAACGTAAGCTCCGTTAGATTACTCGCTGTAATTAAGTATATTCTCTCTCCACTAGCATCTCTTATTTTAATGAAACGTAAAATGCTTTATAACATCTGCTCAACCTGTCGGAACAGGTCGGATCAGTGACCCGTAGAAAATCCTCTGACTTTCGTAGTGGAATTCGATTTCAATCGAGTTTTACAATCAGATGGGAACTTGAAGATAAAAACTTTCTCAAAATAGACATTATCTGTTTAGATGACAGTTTAAAGCATCGGATTATGGCGATTAAAACAATTGAAAACTTCACACCTTTCTCCAACAGTGTGACTTTCAGAAAGCCTCAAGGGACGGATTTGGTAACCGCTTCTGAATTGATACCAGGCTTCTGTCGGTCAAAGTCACATGTCACGACCCCGGGGTCGGTTCGCACGATGAAAAACCCGACAGGGGGATAGTCTCAGGCATCAAATCCCCGCCCCTTGCCCGCACTCCCTTTCCCCCACGGGATTTACATTGATAGGTGCATTAATTGTGACTATACCGTAAAATTCCGAAAATAAGCCCCGGGCCTTATATTTTTCAAAGGCCTTTTTTGAGGGGCTTATTTTTGGAGGGGCTTATATTTGGATGGGCTTATGTACGGAGGAAAATTTTACAAATTTCGTTTAAAAATCGATTGGGTTAGCCTTATTCTAGGTAGGAAATTTACCGTTTTTCTTTGTTTTACTTTGCATTTGAGGGCAATTTCCAAGTACAAGCCCCCCGTGGGGCTTATATTTGGAGGGGCGATTTAACGGAGGGTTTTTTGCGTTAGGAGTTTGAGGGGCTTATATTTGGAGGGGTTTATTTTCGGAATTTTACGGTATTCATGTTTGAATAAGAAACAAACCTAAAGAAAAATGAGTAAAAAGTTGAAAAACATCTCAAGAATAGGCTAGTTTTAAGTGACCGAAATTCATATTTGTCTCCGAGGCAACGTTTTGCATCATTCTCTTTCGCCCAAATGAAACAAGTGTTACTGAGCTGCCATGGTACAACTATTTAATCTATTTTCCAACGCACCCCCCGGTGGTTGCTCTGGGCCGCGCCATGAAGAGTCTTTTTATCAAGAGGAACTCTAGCATGCTTGGAAAGAGCAAGCAACTGGCTGAAATTTTCTAGAAAGACACTTATGCATTTGGCCCTCTTCAGACGCCGCTCTATTCATGTGCAGAACCTAACTGATGAATGAAGTACGGCAAAAGAGTGGTGTTTGAATCAATTTGGTACGGCAGTTTTAGTTTGGTGCTGCAAAAGCGTTAAATTCGACAGAGCCTCTCGAACTCTTAACTTAGGCTCGACACACGGTGCACCGTCTGAGTCAGATGTCGCGCCAGTGTCGCTCCAAGTCGAACATATTCAGTTGGGTTCAGCACATGAAGTACGGCGTCTGAACCAGGCCTTAATTTTTTTGCAATAGTTCATTTTTGTTGAGAATGTTTGTAACCCTGTGGGGAGGGAGGACTTCCTTGAGCACGGACCCCTGGCGTGATGGCACCGTCACGCGTGAAGTAGTATAGGGCGCACCGAATCAACTTTTTTTAGCGAGGGACTCTCGTTAACTTGCGGGTAGCCTGTTTCAGGCTCCGAGATAGGCGGCGGGTGAAAGTGAAAAGTCGTTCAAAAATAAGAAAACGCGCGGGGGCACCGCCCCCCTTTCCTAAGTCGCGCGCGTCTTATTTTCGCTTTGCTCGTTTAATACGTCCCCACTATACTATCTGAGAGCCTAGCACAGGCTAACTTGCGGGGTAATACTATATCGCCAATACCGCCATGAATCTTCTCAGATGGGAATACTTTTTTGCGGTGGAATCTTGCGAACTCGATTTGGAATAACGTTTGGATTTGTTTACATTTGCCACATACAAAATAATTCTCAGTTTGTGATGGTGTGCTAGCCTGCGCAGTAGGCGTGTGCTAGAGGGTTGTCACGAGGCAAATTCATAGGTGAGACTGATCTCACTAGCCCCGTAAACAAATTCATATTACGCCCTCCCGCGTGCTTTTCCAACGAGCAGGAACCTAGCCCGCCCAGTGAATGTGATAATAATCCGATCATCATTTTTGCTTCGCTTTATCAATATGCTCCTCTATGACGTTTTGCCTTGCTCATCAGCGAGAAGGAAACATTCCTGAAGTCGAAATAAATTCATACAGATAGATTCTATGTGCTGGTTAACTCACTCTTCTGCGCCCGCTTGGTGAATGTAGGTTGTTTGTTGTTAAGAATAGGGTTTTCGTGTTGGTGACTCTTCTCCCATTCGCAGCCTTGGGTAGCAATTATCATCCACCCGGCATTACCGGAACAGCCCCCATAGTTCCGGTTGATGAAGAAGTGCCGGTTGTAGTTTGGCTCTCCAGGAATGGAAAAGTACTTCTTTGACTGCGTTTTTATATCTGTCCAGGCCACCGTAGTCTATCTAGTTTCGGGAAAGCATTCCCTTGGGTCACAATGATCTTTAAATCTCACGTGATGTCGAGTAGAGAAGTTGTTATCGCGCTTTCTCATGTAACAGTATTCCCCAGGCAACATGATGCGAAAACAAGGTGGTTTACTGGAAGCTGGCGCATTATTAAGCTCAGCGTTCAAAACTTATCCACAATAGACAACTAACAGAGGAAGTATCCCCTCTATAGTAATTACCATTAGATGTAAAGACATCTTCGATTCAGCCCATAAGGTCTGTCAAGTTAACCTCAGCAAACGTAAAGATTGCGCGAATAGCGGCATACGAAAATGTGACGAAAACATGTCTCTAAAAGTGATCGAAAACATTTTTTCATTGAAAGTGGAGATTACTTGGAAGTTGGCTGGGAAACCGAGTGTCAGATCGCACTCACGATGAGACTGAATCACGAAAAACTACTTCCTTATCTCTCTCCCCAGTTATCCTAAGGAAAAAAAGAATAAAGAGAATATAAAAAGAACGATTAAGTTGAAATTTTTCCTTTTCCAGTCGAATACCAAAACAGTAGTTGCCGAGATCGAAAGGTGATCAGTATATATTGGTCAGGCTCACGAGTATAATGCATTCAGTCAATGTTATTCACTTTTTTAGTATTCTCCTCGCAAAAGTCTCTAACAAACAAATGAATGTATTCTTGTGTAGGAAGATGGAAGTATTTTTCCTTAACAGGCGCTTACTATAAACGAGGTTTTTATGTAATTCCCTTGAAAAGAATGTACTTTCTTTAATTCCGCACAATTGACGGTCACATGTGAGAAACTGAAAAACTGCAATTATTAAAAGGTGGTGTAACCGTGCTTGTTTTTGCCCTACTTAACCGTTATTTTAAGTCTTTTCTACTAAGTTGCTCGCAAAGTTCGAAACTCATGAAAAGCAAATGTCAAATACTTGTTATTATATAGGAAAAACTACGAATACTATTGAAATTTCAAGCCTGTTTGTTTGTCTGGGCAATAATCTTTCAGCAGTAAAGTTATTTCCAATTGCCTGACCTTGCAAATAATGTAAGAAAATTAGAACTGATCTGCATCTTTATCTCATACTCCGGTTCTGTGGCACGTCATTCATATAAAATAATACAACTTCTACTATCATATATTTCTCTGCTTGAAATGATTTTTCAAATAGGACTATTTTTCGTTGTCAATGAATGAGCAATAGTTACTTGATTAAAGAGTTACCGAAAGAAGGTCAGTGCGTTTGATATAGATATAATATGGCAATACCTAATTGAAAGTCGGTGAAACTTGGGTGTTACTAAATTCTCTTTGGACTGAACACTGAAATACAAATACTAACCGACTTATAATAGACATAATAAGTGGCTTGAAAATTTCAAAGTTAACAAAAACTGTTTAATGTAAATTATCCTTGCTTGCTAAGATAATTAAAAGTTCTGTTCTGCTGTTGTAGTGTATGCCGTGTGAGTCGGAGAGTGCAAGAACGAGTAGTAAATGTTCTTTGTTGTTCTAATCTGATTCAACCCGCTACTTGAATGTGTATGTTTGGACTTTACAGCTGTTATTTGTAATTATTATACATTGTTGTCACTAACAGTCTTTTCATTGGCTAAGAACTTACAGACTAGTTATTTGCTAGCAGATATCTGACTAATCAGTAAGTTGCGCGCACCGTACATTAGTGAAACAAAAGAATTGTATAATTCGTTCCCCAGCCCCTTTTATAGCTAGAGGGGGCCTAATGGGAAAATTTTAGCCTAACAAGTTCTTAAAAACCAAATTCTTAGTCGCGAGTTTTTACTGTAGCCACTGGAAACAAAACTCATCATTTAGTGTTGTTGAAATTGCTGAGCGACAGCAGGATAAAAAAAGCTCAGGGATCCTGACAGTAAAGAGGCTGTGCCCTTTTTATTACGCCAACCTCTCGGAAAATTTTGGTCGAAATAGAAATGGAACGTTTCGTTCAAGGTAGAAATGTTCCGGAAAAAGTTGTCCACCTGCAAAGGTGGTCTTCATTTCCAGTCCCACTTTGCTGAGAAGTAAACAAAATTTCGGTCAAAACGTAAATGGAACACTTCATTCGGTTTGAAACTTTGCTTCAATACGAATACTGTAGCTCCATTTTTTCTTGGTCAGTTTCACTTGACTGGCTTTCTGACGGGGTTGATTTGGCAAAACGAAAAGCATCCGCTAGCAGAGTTTTAACAAATAGGTCAGGAAGTGCTTTCAGCTTATCAACCTGTCAACGCGCCCTTAATTAGCAATAAAAGAATTTTTCACAGTCAAATTAGTTTTGACCGTGTTGGAAACCCTCAGGCATAATGGAAAACTAAAAAGTCTATAATGCAATGGTATAAATTACTTTTACCTTAATCAGCATCTGATTAAGAAGCTTATTCGTGATGAAAGCTTCAGCATCATTATTTAGGGTCCGTCTTTACTTGGGTACTTAAACTAACTACAAACTTGTGGTATGAGAAATCCAGGGGTGAGATGAGTTCTTGTCTGTATTCTTAGTTTATTTATCATAGATTTTGTCTAAACGGCGATAGGAGAATTTTTATAAGTTCTTAAACGGGTAAAAATTTTATGACGCAAGTCGAATCTCGAGTTACTCGAGTCACGAGTAATAAAATAAATGTCAAAACTATACATAACAATCAGACAGCATGTCATGTGACCATGTTATCGTCCAGATGAAAAACGTTCTGTTTTCCATCCTTAATTTCTCTTTCTAAAATCATTTTGTTTGAGACAGTAACATGATCAAACATTCACGACTCAGCATTTCATCACAAGATCAAACAAACATCTCTGTCAGCTCTTTCACTTAATATTGTGATGAGACACTGTGGGTTTAAAATGCTGGGCATATTACTTCCGATTATTTCTGCATTATGAATAAAGGTTAGCCTGAGCTATTAAATTCTAAATTGAGAGCCATTTGCATTTTAGCTCTCTGCTGGACCCGACCTGGTGGTGCCGGCTAGGACTGACTTAGTCGCGTCCACAGGAGTAGATGGCTAATAAACAGCTGCAGTACTAGGAAAACCAGCCCCTAGTCTCTGAAGTTTATGTATGTGCGTGTATGTGAATTTGGAGTTAACACCAGATAACGCTTCAGAGTATTGCTCGGTCTTTAAACAATCAACTGGGATACTTAATTTTTGAAAATGATTTCCCAACCTGCGTTTGTTGTTATTGCCTTTGCTTTTCGCTTTTTGCATGTCTGCTTGGCGCAAAACGAGAGAGAACCGAATTACCTGATGATCAACATTTTGGAATTGAACCAAAGTAGCTCCGACGAAAACGATTCGTCTTGCCCTCCATCGATCACATCGAGAAATGGTACCATTCGTCCTACTAGCATTACGACAAACCTGACAGATAAGACGTCATCCGTTCGCACTGTGTTAACCGACAACACTCAAGATCCTACCACGATGGTGCCAACATCCTCTGGTAAAAACGTATCGACCATTTCCACGGAAGATAATTGCGTCCTAGGCAATGGCCCGCCACCGTTTTGCTTCCGAGTAATCAACATAACATGGCTGTCATTTGCTCCTTTTATTTTTCAGCCTAAGAACAACACGACAGAAACTGAAACGTTAGACGGTGTATTCTACAGAATAATAGGGCGCGCTGTTCAGTTTTGTTGCAAACGTTTTGACAACAGAGGGACACGCTTGGAATATACCCACAAAGCGGAAAACATATATACGTTACATGCTAATATCTTTTATGATAAAGCTTCTGTAGGAATGCCAGTATACATTGAAAATGAGTTCTTTGACCAGCACTATGGAGGTACATTGGCATTTATCAAAGTCCTTGAATCTCCCGGGTTGGTTGTTATTGGAAACAAAGACGATGTCAAACAGAATGATTCGAAGCTTCTATGGAAAACCATTTACAACCAGTGGCCGATTGTGCTCATCTCAGTGTTGTTATGCGCAATCTCTGGTATTTGTGTCTGGGCGCTGGTAAGTATTATGGCGCTTTTTGGGGAAAATCCAAATCTAGTTGGAATAAATACATGGTGTTTACTATTTGCATTGGCAAACCGGCCGGTTCACGGTTTGGGCAAATGGTGAACAAAATTCAAGACTAGTAAATTTCGTCCAGGAATCGCGTTTACCTTTCAGAGTACAAATCAGTTCCTTTTACCGAAAAATGACCGCGAAGGCCTGAACATGGTATCAAAGAAGAAACGGAACAAGAACTTCCTTTTGTAACAATCTCACCGGGAAAAAACGGGTCTACCTTTTCAGACGTTAATATGTTGCTTTCGGAAACTTTCCACCTAAACGACCCAAGAAATCGTGTTCCATTTACTTTCCAACCGGTTTTACGGAAACTTCTTGTAAATGATAAACAACCACATTTGCTTCATTTTCAGCCCTATTTACAACGAGATGGAGTAAGTTTCTAAACGGAAACTGTGTTGTCGGTAGGGAATGAAGTACTCAAAACTGAATTGATAAGGTGGCAAGATTGACCACCTGAAAAGATACGCAATATAATATTTGGCTCCTGAGGGCACTTCCTTATTTGGCTTAAACGAATATGCAATGCTGCGGGATGTGATCTTTGCTGCTGCGCGGCCGACATTATAGTGTGACTGGTTTTTAGAATCAAAAAACTAACTGACTCCAAATTTAAAGTGACAAACGTTCTTGAACAAAGTCCTATATTTAGGCCACGAAAAAGGGTCTCTTTTCTTAAATTAAACTGGGTAACAAAATGAAGGGTTATGGCATGGTTTGATGGCCTCAGTGGCACACCCCTTCACAAACTACCCTTCAGTGGTTTCCAGCCCTGGGTTTGTAGACCTCTGGCTCTGACGAAGCCACTGTTTGAATACCTGTGGCCCGTTTAGCGTATCAAGGTACATGATGTAAACACATTGTGGTGTAAACGTACAAGCGAACTGGCGTGTTTACAACCAACCAAGCATATCCAGTTGAATTTGTCAAGTGCAAAGGCTAAATAGATAATCCTTTAATTTTTGTTTTATTTAACAGGATACAATATGGAATACAGATGAATTCCCTCGTCGTTTTCATCGTGGGGCATTTGAAGGTTTCTGGTGGGCCTTCGTTACCATGTCAACAGTTGGGTAAGTGAACCAAAATTCAACTGCACCATCACTAATAAAAGCAAATTTAGGCAATGCACTTCCACACGAATCCGGTTTCTCTTAAAACTGCATTATTGGTATTTGCACTGAACACCAATATTTGTTGTGGTGTATCCGGTTTGGATTCACCCATCCGTAGAAATACGCCAACCTCGACCCAGGGCGCTTTTCCCTGGCTCTGGAGGTGTGCCCGCTGTCACAGCGTTTTGGGCATCCCCATTCCCATATCCCTAGCGTTTTGGGCATCCCCGGTGGGGGATGCCCAAAACGCTGATCACTTCGACTTTGCCTAAATTATTTCAGACTGGGGAAAAGTCGGGATTGTTAATCACGAATTTACAGCGAAATAGTGTTGATGCATGTTAGAATTATATCGTCCGACACTTTTTGCCGAGTTAATTGCGCAGAAAAAAACCCATAGGCAGTAAACGTTGGCTCAAAACATGACGAAACTGAAATTTACAACCGCATAACATGGCTTCGATGCACAACACTTTATTGTTTGCAAAGCTTTCAATTTTATTTAATAGAACTGTTTACAAGCGAGCAATGCCGCAATCGCCGGCAGCTGCGATCGTCTGCTTCCAAACAGCCAAAAACAAGAATACTAAACAAAGGAATCAAAAGGTAAACATGAATAAAACTGCGTTTTGCGGTGTTGCATTCATAGTATTCATGACATTTGAGGCCTGTACAACTTAACCCCGCAGCGCTACTTGATACAGGAAAGGCTGTCACACAATTACAGAGGCCTTAAATCATCAGAAATAACCGGAGGTGGGGTGACAATTCCCCCCCAAAAAAACCTGCAGTGCAAGGGAAAGGCATGTCTAGAAAAAAATCCTGTAGTTATGTAGTTATGATAAATGGACGCTCCAATGATGGTCACTAGAAGATATGTTGTGCTCGGCGCACGGGCGTGACAGCCGGCGTGACATAAATGGCTGTTCAAGGCCACACTTAGGTCAACTGACAGAAAATCTGTCATCTCGACCCTTCAGAAATATAACTTCTGATCTTTGGCTTCACATAAAATAATAACAAACGGGATCTATAAGAAGGACTCCGGTTTACAATGTCCTTTGACAACCTACCAAAAGATGCAATTATGCCTCACCCTTTCAAAGAACACTGACAACAGAAGAAATTTAGCGTATGTTTTCGATTATCAACGCGGGTGTTTTAAAAACACGATCAATTGGCAAATAAATAACATTTGTAACTACACTGTAACCATTTCTATCGTGTCCTTGTAGTAGTCAGGCCAGTAAAACCGCTCTTTGATTTTCCTCAGAGTGTTATCGCGGCCGGCGTGTCCAGAAAAAGGAGCAGAGTGGCACTCTTCGAAGACCCTCGCTTTATCTTCCTCGGCGATAACAAGACGTCGAAGCGCTGTGCCATCCTTCTCCTTGGCCACGTAGAACAAGGACTCTAATTTTGAGTCATACTCAAACTTTTTGGCTAATTTTCTAAGAATTGTTTTGTCCTGCTTTGTAAAGCCTTCCGGATAAACCTTATTTTTAAGACACCGGAACAGATTTGTATATTTAGCGGAATCCATCTCTAAAAGGTTTTCGATTTTCCCGCGAAACCCCAAATTGTTTTGGAGGGGATGCCCAAAACGCTAGGGATTTGGGCATCCCGGGAGGGTACCGGGGGATGCCCAAAACGCTGCAGTAATATGAGAAGGGGATACCCAAAACGCTAGGGATATGGGAATGGGGATGCCCAAAACGCGGGGATGCCCAAGACGCTGTGACACCGCCCTACCTCCAAAGCCAGGAAAAAGCGCCCTGGGGACGAGGTTGGGAATACGCTACTGCGATTTACATCATTTTGCTAATTACTAGCTACTAGGCATACGCAAAAACCGAACTCGCGATGTGATTTCGCGGCATTTTTGAGTTTATGTAGTACTTGACTTCAAAAATATCCGGTCGGCAGTCGTCCACACGAAATCACCAAACGCTTCGGATGAGAAAAAAAAATCCACTCTGGAGAACGGTTTCAAACACATGCGGTTTCGATGTGCAGACAGCTGATTCGTTTAAAAGGAGTACGTGGTTTTAAAAGTATCCGCATATAAAGTGCTTTATGCATAAAAGTGACTGGAAAGAATAACAAATCTTCAAAGTCAGCCTAACGCTTAGTGCTTGGAGGTTTCTTGTGCAAAAATGATACCCCTTTGCATTCTTTGCATGCTACGTGCCTGCCAGTTAACTAAACGAAGTTCTTATATATTTTACGTGCCATAATTTCCATACAGCAATTTCTATATGGTGGTTGGATGACAACCGGTCAATTAACTTGCAACAGGGATCAATTTAATAAAACTTTTATACTTGTAAATTACCGCATTTTTGACCAAATCTTCCTTTTTGAACCGTTTTTCGGCCAGTTACCATGTGAATAGCTAAAAAAAAAGAGGTTTGAAACACTAAAGACATATTTTCTGCTAATTGGATGTAAGCAGCTTTTTTGTTTTTCGCGCATGCGCATAAGCCAAAATTTGGCGAATCTATTTCGATCTATTTCCTCTTTGCCTTTATTTTTATGGCCATTTTTGTTGCCCACTTTATCGTCTTTCTTAATTTCGCATGAAAGTTTGGCTGGCTTACTTTCCAATAAAGGGACAATAAATTTAATCTGCAAAGAATTTTGGATAAATAGCAAAAGTGGCAGTGGATTTTTTCCCCAAATGTTGCGTAAAATGTGTTTTTGTCTGTAACTCTGTCAGGATTGGCCAAAATTTTCTAAATGAGGTACCAGTAGAAAGTTCTATCCTCGCTAATTGTGCTCATTACCATTTTATTCACAGCTTAAATAGAAAGCTTAATGGATACAGGAAGGATAATATGCATGGGTTCATATATATGGAACAAAAACGACCAAAGCGGACGTTAAAGAGCCGTCAGTTGAGAATGAAAAAAATGTAGTAACGAGAAGCGATTTCTTGCTCAACCTGAGTGTGGTATTTTTGAAAAACAACTGGCATTTACTTTTGCTCAATTCAAAGTGAGGTTTTCATGGGCTTAGCGCATTAATAGTCATGTTAGGATGAAAATGGATAATGATGACGAATTTTAATCCTTGATGTTTCCAGCTGGTTTTTATTTTTTATAGTTTTCATTCGACGTTATTTCGTTCGGTGTCTTTATAAGAATCCATGTAATTTATCTTACAGTGTATTTGTCAAGCATTCTCTGAAAGAAAGGTGCCTTTAAAGGGTTTTCACACACATCTTCACACAGTGCTCTCGTTTTCCCCATTAAGTCCCTCTTATCGGCGCCTCGGCGTCCCACTACTACAACGGTACAGACTTTATCAGAGAGCGGCATTGAGACCTATTGAAAAATAAGCTCTTCTTGTTTTAAGGTACGGAGATAAAGCTCCTAAGTCAGTTATTGCTCGATTATTCTCTATCGTGTGGATCATGGTTGGACTTACACTGTGTTCAGTTTTGACAGCTACTTTTACCACAGCGCTCGCCACAGCAGCTGTCAAAGATGTAGACCAGGTGGGAAAGAAGGTATAATATTCATTATCAAAAATTACTCGATGTTTCCTTTTGCTATTTTCATTGATTACAATTATCGTTTGCATATTTTAGTGAAATGGGCATTAAAGGTTTGTGGACTCTGTGGGATAAAGGCTACCTATAAGAATAGCAAAGTAGTTTGTAGAACTTTAAAGAACATATCGATGTAAAACTGTTGATTTAAGATTGACGTCAATCGTAAATTATTCTGCTGCTGATAAAGAGATGCATTGAAGTTACGCAAAAAAGCGGCGGAAATTAAACATGTAAGCAACTTTTGAGCTTGGAAATATTTGGAATGAATAATGGCAAGAATAATAAAATATTTATTTGGCTTAGCTTGTTTCTTCAAACGATATTCAGCCTTTTCAAATAATTGCCATTAAATTCTCCGGTTAATTCTTTTTACAAAATAACCAGATAGGGCTGACCAAATTTGGAAGTCGTTTGCTACATCCGATAAAATCAAAAAAAAAAACCCAGGCTCTGTGATAGTACCACATTACGGTTCCAGTAAAATTACAGTGTTTGTATGGGATAAAAATAACATCCTAAAATTTCTAGGAAATACTAAATAAAGATCAATGAAACTTAATCTGCAGGGTAGGGTGGCTTTGAGCAAATGATGTATCGGTCCCCAGAAAGGTCACTTCGGGACTCCCGGAATGGATTTTTTTTGTACAGTGCCAAGGCCTCATTTTATTGGCCGCGCGTTGATCTGGCTCAGCCGCTTCGGCGAGCATATTCTCGGTATGTTTGGATTATATCCTTCGAGTTTGTCAAAGTCTGTGGGATTCGTTTCTCTATCTGGGAAAGCTTCATTGGTTTCTATACCTGCTGCTATCCTATTTGTACGATCCTGGCATGTTTATTTTCCGTCGGAGTTCGAATTTCGCGGAAAAAGTTGTGTTGAATAAGAGCATGTCGGCGAAAATGGCATCTCGTGTCTCCTACCTTGTATATTATTATTGTATATAGAGTGAATTTGAACAAATTACTGCAAACTATCACGAAACTTCGTTGGAGAAATAAGGACAACAACAATTAACTGCAGAGTAAGTTTCATTGATCTTTATTTAGTATTTCCTAGAAATTTTAGGATGGTATTTTTATCCCATACAAACACTGTAATTTTACTAGAACCGTACTGTGGTACTATCACAGAGCCTGGGTTACCTGTGATAAAATGACATCAATCGGCTATCCGATAAACGCCAGAAAAAGGGACGGCCACCGAGAGGCCCTGGAGACGAGGTTGCATTGTTTTGGTAGAACAGTAGAAAATGGTGGAAACCTAAAACAATTATTGGATTCCGCTTAAATGTGATCTGAAGAAATGTGATGGAGATCTCGGAGGGTGTTATCCGCTTTGACTGATAACTCTCTCCTCAAAATTATCTGCTATATTCCTTCAGATCACAGTACTCAGCCTCATCCAATAATTACTAAGTGATATGTTACGTGCTCTTGATTGTCCATACTGCAGATTGCTGTGTTGAAGGAAAGTCCAGCATTCCAAGAAGTTATCAAACAGGGAGGAAGCCCAACACGTAAGATTAACATGACTAACTGGTCGTATACACGTGTTAAATTATTAACGAGAGTTCATTTATTCCGTTCCCGCTTGCGGGATCAGCACTAGGCTCCCACGCAGGCGTTTTTAGGGGAGCTCGTTTTTCATCCCTCCCCACAAACGCCTGCTCAACCAAAAACAACATTCCTCAAGGGCGGACACAGAATTTTTTTAGGAAGGGGTGCACTCGTCTCTTGCTCTACTTCAACACCAATAAACCATATAGTTTTTTTTCTGGCAGAATACCGGTTGTATTAGAAAACCGCAGGTCATCCCAGGGGGGGGCGCACCCCCTGCACCTTCCCCCTAGATCCGCCCCTGTTCCTTTCCCATTGTTTTGTTTGCGTGGTAAGTGACCAATCAACAGTTGTGAAATAAAGTGTTGACAGGCTAATCAAGACTAAAACGTGACCCTAGAGTTATCGTTTTCCTTCTTTTCTTTCCTTCGCTAAGGTTATGTAGTGCATGAAGTATTCTAAAATTTGACCAAATCTTACTTTTGCCGCTCTGAATCTAACATTTATTAGAGGTCAGAAAGCTTTCCCAGTGTTTCATGCAGATCGATTAATTATCAGATTACCCTGCGATCAAGGTCAACTTTACAGAAATTGGAAAGTACAATGTGATTGGCTAAGCTTGGGAAACGAAAGTTGTCTTCGGTTGAGCAGGCGTTTGTGGGGAGGGATGAAAAATTAGCTCTCTTAAAAACGCCTGCGTGTGAGGCTAGATCAGCACTGAAGAGAAAAGAATCCGGTTTCTTGCTCTCTTTACTAGCTTTTTCACCATTAATTTTATACTTGGGTAGCACATCACAGCTTTCTTTAGTCTAAACACCGGTTTGAACTTGAATTTGGAAATCATGGTTTTTGCAAATATTATGTCGCATATTTTTTAAATTTAAAAAGGTACTCCATTGAAATTATTCGCTTGGTTCTCTTGAACAGAACGTAACTCAGCCTTAAAGTTCCAGTTCATAGTTGTAACCGGTTCCTATGGGTCACGTGCTGGCAAGCCAGTTCATTCTGATGTAACATGCGACTAGTTCCCTTGATATTTTGTGGATATTCCCTCAAATCCAGCAAAAAATTTATGCCGGAGGCTCCAAGCGGCAAGAGCTCCCAGGTCGCTATGTGTAACTGCACATTTAATCATGTGCCATGGGAAGTTGCGCTATATATAAGTTTTAATTAATTGTAAATTGTAGTTGCTGCGTGTTGGGGATCTTAAAATCCCTCTCTCTTAACGAGATTGTTTGTCTTCATGCTTCGTTTATTTTTTCAGTTTTTGACAACTTTGAAGACATGCAAAAGGCTCTCCTAAATAAGACTGTGACAGGTATAATGGATGAGATGTACCACGGACTTTACTGGATGCAACAAGTTAGAGATTCAAAACTGTATGTGGTTAAGATGATTGAGAGAACACGTTCTTATGGCTTCGCATTCAAGAAAAACGCTATTAAATGGCCGGTTGACGACTGCGTTCGAAAACTTATTTTGTATCGCACAGAGGATGTCTACTCTGTTATGAAAAAGTTCAAGGATGAAATGAAGGTAATTAGGTTTAATCAGTGGAAGTAATTCACTGAGCTTCTCACGCTAACTTTTTATAATCAACTAACTATTGCTCATTGACACCAAAGCAATATCCAATAAAACAACGGGATAACTACGACATATTATGGGTTGGGGCGTGGCCGAGTGGTCAGCGCGTCGGATCTGCAATCCGGCGGTTTCAGGTTCGAGTTCCCCTACGATCACTGGCTGGATTTGTTCAGTCACGGCTGTTCCGAATTCAAATCCTCTACCACGCTTGTTAATACTTCCTGCTAGTTTGGTTTTAACCCCGTTATGTTCTATTTGGAATATTTGTTTCTATTAGACATTATTAAAAACTGAATCATTGGATAATGCAATTCTAGCATTTTGATTGGCTTAGCTGTTATGGTATATGAGCTATTTATAGTATATCACACTCAGTGATCTTGGTGATTTAAGCAATCTTATTGGTTCGCTATCTCGGACTATTCAACAATATTCACCTCCTAGCGAGTGGATAATGTGTGAGCTCGGTTTTTTTCCCATTTTCTTAGAGAAAGATCTTTTAAAAGTCGACAAAATCCTAAGGTTGACTTTTTTTCAGGGAAGAAAAGACTTCGAAGGATTCAAAACGGCGTTTTTCCATTTACTGTTGTTGAGTTTTGTGGTCGATGGATTGTTTACAACTCCCGTTTATTCGCCTAGAAGAGGCCGTTTTGTGAACTCAGTGTGAACTCAGCGTTTCCTAACAAGAAAAATTTGGCCCAAAAACGAAATTTATTTATGACAAACAAATTTGAAAGCAAATGTTTGCAAAAATTCTACGTTTCAAGTAAACACGAGAAAGAATGCTACATGAAGACGACGTCTTACCTCGAGGAACCGAATCGCCGTTTTTGTCAGCACTTCATGCGAAGAACGACACAACAAACCTTTTCGGCTATAAACTTGGCGAGTCAACAGAAAACAACAAAGCTCTTCTTTTCTTTTCACAATTCAAACTTTTAGCGGTTCCATGTAAGTCATTACGCTGTTGTTTGCGAAGTGATAAGCTTGTGAATTGCCATGTTTGAAAACTCTACAAAGATCTATTTTTAAATTGTCGCGTGTCTAGTTGACCTGATCTGTCAATCAAATTGTACTTTTTAATGGTTTCCTCTCTGATTTTGTTGAGATCACTTCGTGTGTATATACTAAAACAATTATTCTTTTCAATCTCGGTGAATAGTGGCTTTAGGAATATTTATCTCGCCACTCCGTGGCTCGGTAAAACTTTTGCCACTGTTCACCTCGATGTCAAAGAATAATTGTTAATTATTCACAATATCACCATTGATATTTTAGTGCTTTGCATTTTTACGGTTGACGATCAGTTCGTTAACTCTTTCAAAACGAGAAAACAATTTTACTCATGCCAAATGTCCAATTCCAGAATTGACAAGTTTTAGTGATATCTCATGATCATTACATTGTTTGCTATGAGGACATCTGCGGTCGCTATTGCGTCCAAAAAAGTAACAACGATCACTTCACCCATACGTTTCCATTATCTCTTTAAGATAAAAAGTTTTGTTGTCTAGAATAAAATAAACGTGACTGCGATTTCTTTTATTGTCAGATTTATCACTTGTTTGTCCCCTGAGAAACCACGTGACATCGCTTCTATCCCATCGGGCCTTTAGCAAATGCAAGGATGGCGGGTATCGTGAATAAGGTCTAAGTGGTGCACTTGTAAACTTAAGCTCAGAAGCTAAGTGCCATGCAGTTCCACTGCAAGAGTCCTTAACTTTGCCTTACGTTTTACGCCCTTTCTTTATCAACAACGTCAACAACTGCACGTCAATACGTCCAAAAATCTCACTTTCAAAGCGAGTCTAATTGGAAAGCCATTCAATTTATTTCAATGGGGATAAAAAATCAGTTTCATATCACTGGATATGCACTTATCCTCGCTAATAAAACAGGCTAAGGGAAACTCGGAAATGGTCCTATTGCTTCCTTTCTTTAACAAGAAATAAGCTATTTGCTCATATTATTAAAATTCTATTTTAAGGACAAACTCTCCACTGCAATGGATGATGACGGGTTTTCTCCACTGGACAGGAATTCTCCGGCTTTTTGCGCCCTTGTTACTTCATTAATAATCTTCTTGGGAGCACTGATCGCAGCAGTCCTCCTCTGTGAACTGCTTTTGTATCTATACCAGAGATTTGTAAAGAAGAAAAAAAGTGAAGGAATAACAGGTTGCTAATATTTTATCATGTCTCTCCTTTTCTAATGTTTCTTCAATTTTTTTTCTACTTTTAATTTAGAGCAAAACTCCACTGAGTTCAGTCTAGGCCTCCGCTATCAACAGCCCCCTGCCCTCCCCGTCGCCTTCAATACCACCACCTATGTACCTTCTAAGATATTGATGCTCAATAAAACTCGAGTTGCTGCGAGGTCGCCCAAAAAGACTTACTCAAGAAACGACAGAACCGGAATCGGAATCGCAAGCGGAGTCGTAAGAGCGCTTATGACCTTGTGAAAATCAAAAATTGGATTCGTAAACAGACAGACGGAATCGGAGTCGGAAGAATCAGTGCGTTTTCATTTTCTTCCGATTCCGCTTACAACTCGGTCCTTTACTATCTAGTGAAAACCAGATTGTCGGAGTCGGAGGCAGAAGCGGAAGAATAAACCAATCACGACGCTAATTCCCACCCTTTGTGATTAGTTTAGTTCGTCCGCTTCTGTTTGCAAATCCGACAGCCTAATTTTCACTCGATCGTAAACGACGGAGTCGTACGCATCAGGACACTGTTTTCACTAGATCGTTAACTCCAACGCTTCTGTTTTCGACTCCGACACCGAACCCGTCGCTAGTGAAAACCTGCCGTAAATGCTCTTTCAGTTATCAAACAAAAATGTAATTTGGTTGAGCTCATGACTAAGATACCTGTCCTTATATGTTATACCTAAAGGCATAAAATAAAAATTTGTGACGTAGAACGGACAAACAGGACTAAACCGCTAACAATATGTATGAATTTTGATTTATTCACAGATAATGTCAAGCCCTCGTCCAGCCACTGCAACGCTCCACCAAAGATGGGTTGCTGGATATTTCATAAGGAGAAGAGGATACAGAGCCATGGAAACTTCCAATCACATAACGACACTCGAGTTCAAGATCCTTTGCCCTCCATCATTTGAGTTCTCAATTCTTAACTTAGAACTTAACTAAAATTTATTTCAATTAAGTCCTGGGAGGCGGGGAGGAGGGAAGCGTTACCTTTAAAGATGCTTCAGCTATATAAAAATAAACCTTCGTATTCTAGCGAGAAAAAAAGGTACAATGGGAATATTCCAAAAGATACAATGGTGACAGTTGCCCCAGCAGGCTTTTGGATTAGATGCCAAAACCTGACGAATCTCCCAAGCAATTCCAGGATATAGTTTTAAACAAGACCAAATAATTCAGCAAGTAAGCACACACTACCAACTCCGCGGTATGGCCATGCAGTACCTTGAGCCTGTACACAGCCATATCATTGGGATTTGGCAGCCATTCACAGCTGCTTCGTCCTTATTAGGACTTATCAGCATGCCGTTGCTCCAGGTAAAGGGTCTCACTAGGTGATCCCTGACCCATTCGTTTACTGCCGAAGAGAGTGAGAAAATGCACTCCATGGACATCAAGTTTCTCCAAACAACTGATATCAAAACATAATTATACAATGATGTGAATGCTACGCGCGCTGTGATTGGTCGTTGCCCATGATCTATTAGAGTACAGATACATGGATGACGTCAGAAGAAACTTGTTTCCTTTGTTTTGTTCAACATGGCGCGCGGTTTTGAAAATGTTTGTGAGATTATTTCGGATTAAGGCAAGTGAAAGCTTCGGAAAAAGTTTAGCAGGAGCTATTTACAAAGAAGAAAAATGGAGAAACGGAGACCAAAAAAAGCTTTGACTACTTGACAATGCCTAAACTACAAGAAATCTTCACAACAGTTGCCATCGTGTGTCTTCGCTACGAGAGACTCGCTGTTTTGCAAAATGTTTTCGCTATTATTCTTCTTTGAGCAAGAAAAGACGGCGTAAAACGTTTCGAAGAGACTGTACACAAGTAAGATAAAGAAGAAGCTAAGATGAAAAGTTGGGTTCGGGACTTAAAAAATGCCTAAACTAGCACAAATCCTAAAAAGGTCAAGCGATTCGAGGCAGGTATGTGTATCGGTCTTTTAATTTTCTGATCATTGTATAAAACAAATAGATTCCATGTTGCCGTGGGTCTGTTCAGTAATAGATCACAGAGGACGTCAAAATGTGGTAAAAACAACAGTGACACGCTCGCCTGCGGCTCGTGTGCCACTTCTTTGTTTTTACGACATTTTGACGTCATCTGTGATCTATTACTGAACAGACGCACGGCAACATGGAATCTATTTGTTAATCAAGTAGAAAGGTTACCCTAAGAATTTATAAAATAACACCAAAAAGATAATGCTTTGATTTTTTAACAAATACTCTCCACTAATTTTTCAAGGAAATGCATTGAGTTCAAACCTGAGAATTCGTATGTGTATTTTGGGACTTAAAGGGCTTTAAGTGCCAGCCTTCCATGGCTGCAACTACGATCTGTACGCGGATGATGTGGCTGCGCATGCTTGACATGTGTGTGTTTCCTTCACTTAATTTGGTCCTATATAATAGTTCTAAAGTAGTTTCCTTTCCAAAATGAATCTGTGAAAGGATAACGATCGCTAAGCGCTTCCGGGAAATAGATAATCAAACTGTAAGTGGTGCCCATCTTACATTGTAAAGCGCAAAGGGAATTATGTAATACGATAAAAAAAAAACTCTTAATTTGACTGTTTATAACGTTGCAATAATCACGAGAGAATTACATAAATGGAGGGAAAAAAACGTAGCAAAATCGTATAAAAATAACATAAAATCTCAACCACAAACTCTCCGTAACCGAAATGATTTGGGGAAGTAAATTCCTCTATTCCTTTCTCATAATATCTTCCTTTTGTTGAATGATTTTTTCAAG